CCTTTGGCCATAGCCCCCAGCATAGCCGTCTTGGTGTTTGCTTATTTTGGTTATTTTTTGATCAGATATTTTGGCACTGTGCACACTGCCTCCTGTTGCCATGGCAGCCGTGACAGGGGCTGAGGCACCGTGAGAAAAATACCAAAATTAATGAGTGAGCGAAAGTGCAGCCGAGAGAAAAACAAGGTTAAAAAAAGAGTTAAAACAGTAATGAAAACAGGCTTCCCAGCTCTACAGCAGAGCAGCTGCTGAGGCCTCCCCAGAGCAGCAGCCCCCACCCAGCCTGGGGCTCCTGGCATCTCCCAGACCTCGAGGCAGGACTCACTCACCTTCCCCCACCCAGCCAGTCACAGACCCAGCAACAGCCACTTGGGGACCATCCTAAGCACAACTGTAGATCAGCTCCAACAGCAGATCAGCTCCCATATCAGGTAGCTGCCTGCCTCCCAGAACAGCATCTCAAGGAACAGCTTCTCATCTCCTAGACAACGGATTCTCAGCTATGGCCCCCACACAACAGTGGTCCAGCTATATTACCAGGAAATGGCCTCCCAGCTACAACCGAGCTTCAGAGTTATAGCTGCAGGCATAACAGCATCCCAGCTAGAGTTCTGCACACAAGAACAGCCCAGCCACAGTCCTGGGCAACAGCATCTTAGTTATAGCCAATCCCCAATATGCTATCATCATAGCTATAGCTTCAGGACCAATAGCATCCCAGCTACAGTTCTATATACAACAGAAGCTCCGTTCTCATCCCAGATAACAGCCTGCTTCTCAGGTACAGGCTCCTAGCAACAGCTTTCTATCTCCTAGGACCTAAGCATTGGATCCAGCTAGAACCCCCACCTTTATCATAAAAGCTTCTCATCTATAGCCAGTCTCAGGTGGGCCAGACTTATATCTATAGCTTCAGGCCCAATAGCATTTCACTTACAGGTTTCCTCAACATGTACATATGCATAAAATATAAACACACACACACAGCTTGACAACATCATTTCAGGTAATCTGATTTTCTGGCTATACCTAGGCCCACCAGCATCACAATATCACAACAGTGTCCCAGCTATAATCAGAGGCCATTATGATTTTGGTTACAGTTGCAGGCCCTAAAGCATCTCAGTCCTCTATCTACAAGCCTTTCCAGGTACCCATATATCACAGAAAGCAAATCCAACAACTCCCATACCTAGCACCAATCCAGCCTCCATTCCCTAGACACAGTCCCTACTGGAATATCAGTCACTATCGGTTTCAGGAGCCTCCCCCCATGCTCCACTTGCCAACCAATACTTCTCCCAGTTTGGTACAAGGCCTGGCTTCTCTCATGTACAAATGTCACTTCCCTTATTCTTCCTCCCAGCCCCAGCCCTCTTGACTGCCCTCCTCAGGGAAAACAACTCAGATCCCCACAGAACAGCCTGGCAGCTGGAGTAGGAGGGGATGGAAAGCAGGGAAGAAGTATAGACCCACCCTGGTGGTGTTGCCCTTGCCCAGTTCTGCTCCAACCACTTGGTGCAGGATTTGGGTTTGATGGTGATGGAGCAGGGAGGAAGGAGGAGAACATCTGGGAGATTAGCATTTCCTGCCCAGCTCTGTGGCTGCCGATCTTGCTCAGCCCAGAGCAAGGGAGGAGAACAGAGGAGCCTTTGAATGGCTCCCAGCAAGCAGCCTGGGGAGGGTTTGCTGCAGTGGGCAGCAGACAAACACTGGGGGCAGGGAGACTGGGGCAGCTCCCTGTGGAAGATTTCTTCTCTCTAGGCCACTGATTCCCTCCTTGGAGCTGTCCTCAATGATGGGATGAGTATGGGCTTTTCAAGAGACAGACGTTACTTAGAGGACAGATCCTCCTTTCACCAGCTGATCCCACCTCCCATCCAGAGACCCAAACTTGGGTTCCTGAGCTGAAGGCAGGAGCTGAGGGTCAGAGTGTAGGGTACAGACCAGAAAGGGAGTCCAGTTGGGTGTGGGTATGGGGGCAGTTGCTGTTCTAGGAGAGATTTTGGACAGTCCTTGCTTGCTTCCTTAGCTGGCCACAAATTCCATCCTTACCCTGAAGAGGAAGAGAGGTCAGAGCTGGGAAGAGGAGGAATCAGAGAAAAGAGACAAGGGATAGAAGAATGGTAGGGATGGGGAAATGGGTAGGATAGGAACAGGAACGAGAAATTAGAAAGTTAAGGCAAAGAGACCCAGAGACCGGTCATAAAGATGCCTTTCCATAAGCAGCACCAAGCCTTGCTAGAGTCAGCCTTCCTCATTCTTATGACCTAGAACACCATTCCTGGGCCTATTAAGAGGAGGCAGGCAGGAGGTCCTATTGAATTGGGGCACTTGGCAGCCTAGGGTGCCAAACCCGGAGCGCCGGAGGTATTTCCCAAGCTGCTCAGGGACCCCTAGATGGCGCCAGAGAGCCAGAACTGAGAGGGAGAAACCGAGTATGAGTGTGTGAGACACTGCGTGTGACATCGTGTGTGACTCGTTGAATGTGAGTGTGACAGAGAGCGTGTGGCACTGTGAGGGCGTGTGACACAGGCCATGACACTATGCGGCTTCGTGGGGTAGGGACCCGTGTGACTTGGTGTGAATGTGTGTGTGTCACCGGTAAAATGTGTGTGGCAATAGCTCTACACAACCCCAGGGGGCAAGTGATCAGGCGACCCTCGAATAGCCTGAGCTCCTCCGGCACGCCACTTCATCCTCATACTTGTATATCTTCCTCATCCTCAACCTAGAGCCCCCAGGTCCCATCACTTTCCGCCTCTCCCACGGTCCCCTCTATAGCCCCACCCCCATGGCTTGCTGCGGCCACCGAGGCTGACCGCTCTGCGGCTTCGGTAGGAGGGGGGAGGGGTGGACTTCCCCGGAGCGCAGTGGAAAGGGAGGGCCAAAAGGGGAGATTCGGGGGTCTGGGCGGGAAGACCGTGGATCTGAAGGGGAAGTGCCCAGGGAAGAAGGCGCTAGGGGAGATACTTCCTCGGCCTCGACTTCCAGGGATGCAGAGTGGGGGACAGGTGTTTGAGTGAGGCAAGGAGGGGAATTCGGGAGGGGGTCCTAGATGCAGGCTTGGGTGGGATAAGTGTTAGGCGAAGAGCGGAGGAGTAAACCTATGTACCCAGGCCTCCGGCAATGGGGAGATGGCAATGGGGAGGGGGTCCCGGCTTTAGGGAACGGCGCTCAGGGTCCCCTCCCAGCGGGACCAGAGCAGTCCCGAGCTCCACCTCCCGGCCGGAGGGGGTGCGGA